TTTTTTGAACGCGAAATGTACGACGAATTTGTCGATAAAAGTTGGCCGCCATCTTGTTTGGATGGCGCTGTAGACTTCGCGCATGCGTAGTATGGCTCTGTACACTTCATGCATGCGTAGTACGGCTAGCTACACATAAACAAGATGGTGGCCAACTTTTATCGACAATTTCGCCGTACATTTCGTGTTCAAAAAACCAAGTTTTAAAATAATTTTAACTTTAATTGATTTGCAGAAGATGTTCTTTATTGCCTTTTTTACCATATAAAGTTGAGGCTTGTTGACGCTTGTTGACGCTTGTTGACGCGCTTTAGTAGGACCCCTTTCGTTGGAATCTGATGTGATTGCATGCGTGCCCCGGTCATGCATGCAACACGCACGCTGTATGATCGGACCAAACCATTTTGGGTAATAAAGTGGTGTACCGTCTTGGGAACAATAATTATCGATATTTCCGCAGAAGAAAAGACAACTAATACTTTTTATGGAGTCCGAAACATTTCTTTATACGATAGTCAGTTGTTCTACGTCACAATATATATTTTTTTCTGGAAATGTATTCAAGAAACGACGTTAAACGCAAAACTGGCACTAAATCACCCCTTACGAAATTAATGGATTCGCCCATGCATCGTGCTAGCTGCAAGAAAGTACGATCGTACACTTGATTTTTTGATGTTACTACTCGTTAGTAATCACAACAATTTGATAAGCTTTGTTGTAAAAAAGGACTTATTTATTCGGACAAAACAAATCAGCATCTGTTGTCATTCGTTGGCACATGCTGCCGGGCCATGCGCTAACTTGCCGGCAGCGATTCCCGGTGTTTATTTCTCATCGTCAATCAGGGGTGTGAAATCTCCGCTATTTAGCAGATTTCCGCTTTTTTGTTCAGCGTGCCACATTTTGTTTTCTGCTTTTTTTCTTCTGATGGTCCAGATTTCCCCCCGCTTTTTCCCCCGCGCTTAAGCATTGATTTTATTTTCTGTTTTTATTTTATTTTCCGCCGCCGCCGAACCAGTGTTCTAGCCAGGGTGAAATTATAGCGTAGGGGTAATTTTGGTTCGGCGACTAATGCGAGCGCGGAGCCCTTACGGCGTGGGGTCCGGGGCCTGCTTAAGGGCCCCGAAAAATTTTGGACTCTAGATGCTCTGTGGTGCAATCTGAGGCGATTCCCTGCCACTTTCCCCTGAGTTTTTTTTGCAGAAGTGTTTAAAATTATAAGAAATTTTGTTTTATTTGTTTCAATGATTAATACTTTTGCTCCTGTAAAGTTTCTTCTGTTTTCAAATTTTAGATTACGTTTACAATGTATAAGTTGTTCCAAGATGGATGCTTTCTGATGTTTAACCATTTTTAGTAGTTCCTCAATGTTTTATAAAAAATTGGGATTTACTTTGTCAATGTTAAGTGTGAGAACAAATCGCATGAACATTTCATATTTCAAGAAGCCTTGTGTTGTGTAGCGCTGCCGTAGTAGCAGTAGTTCCGATTTTAAATTTGTAAATAAAACCATCCGATCGGCAGGGAGAGAAATTGAAAAACCATGGAGGTCTCAGACATAAAAAGTCGTCGGCGATTGCAATTTCAATATGCTACAACACAATGTGAAGGAGAAATCTCATTTTTGTTATGTTAAAAAATATAATTGTAGATAATGACGATGAGAAATAATCACCGGGAATTGCTTCCTATCCCGGCCGCGGCCGGCCCGGCGTGCGGGCGCGGCGCGGGCCAGCCCACACCGGCTACGCCGGCGAACTACGCGACCAAATTTCCCTCAGCATTTGAGAAAGCTACGCATTCGTGGAGCGCTAAAAAAACTTGTTTTGTTGCAATACTTGCTGATTGGTTTTGTCCTAAGAACAAACAGATCCGTTACTACCAAACTTATTGAACTGTTATTATCAGCAACGAGTAGTGTAGTCAAAAATCCAAATTTTCGACAGCGACATTCTTCGAGAAGAAATCTTCACGTGCGGCCATCTTTGGGGACGGATCCATTGATATCGTAGGGGTGCTTAACCTTTCTTTGGACATCGTTTCTCGAATAAATCCTTTACAAAAATTATGTTCCGACGTTGAAGGACTTATTTTCAAACAGTTATATGTTTCGGACTTGATAAAAAGTATTATTTATAATTTTAAAACAGTTGAAATGTTTGTAAATATTGACCTTAGGAAAGCACACCTGATAGCGCAAAATGGTGTGGTCCACGTACGTCCGTACGGAGCGCTGTATCTACGCAGCACAAAACAGCACGTGCTTATTGCTATCATAGCGAATGCGTGTGGCGCAGCATCACGGTAGGGGTATCATACGGGGTACGTGCGGTGGGATCGTTGTTTATTTTTCGCTGTGTCGTACGGCCAGTGCGCAATGCTCACAGTCGCTGCGCTTGTATACGAACAAACAGCAGATATTTTTTTTTCGCTACCAAAATTTATAGCGTAGCGGTAGCGTAGCGGCGAGATTTAAGCGTAGCGCTTATTTCCGAAAGCGTAGCGGGTGCTAGTGCTATTTGATGCCTGGCTAGAACACTGCGCCGAACGCACGCGATCCGCTCTGTTCAACATACACGTAGCTCTGGTGTGCGTGCAAGCGAGTATTCACCAAACGGTAGCATGGGGTGACCCTGGCAAAATATTTTTTCTCCATGGTGCATGGCCACCAAGTGTCCCTATTCTTCCCTGTGCTTTGCTTGCCGCCCCTGCGCCGAGTGCAACTAATACTCAGAAGGACTACACATTAGTATGCCTTGCGCGGTCTGACCAATCGAAAGTCTACACTGCGTATAGTACTTCCCGGCTATGCGTAAAACCGTCGATGGCAACGCGTACTGCAGCTTGCTCCACACCCTGGAAACGAGGTTGGGTCTACGGTGCTCGATATTTGAAACACAAGCATTGAGACGTGCATGAGAGCATAGAGCAAGCTCTATGGATAGAGTGCTGTTGCTTCCATCAAGGCTGAGCCACGTTTTTGTGATGTTCGCTGCCCGCCACGTATAATTCAGTGCCGCGCTATAATTTCGGGGGCCTGTTTTGGGATCAACGAAGGATCGATGCATTTCTTCAAATATCGCGATCTTTGAACTACGTTGCATAAATAATAATATCCATTGGTGGACGTCGTTGGCTGTTTGGTCTTGCTTATGTTGTGGTTGAAAGGCCAACTTATATAAAAGTTGAATTGAGTTTTCCACGCAGGTCTCCAAATTGTAAAAAGTATCAAGTTTACGTTTGTTGAAGAGTCCAATACTGTAACTTAATTATGACCTTCCTCCATGATTCAGACTTTGTAGTTTTATGGTATAACATTCAACATTTCTATTGCAACTTGACACGTTCACGTTTTATTGCATTATGATTTATTGTCAAAACTGTACAAAATGCCAACTTAATTAACAGACCAACCGGAAAATTTACAGACAGTTATACATGTACATGCCATGGTACATAATTATCATAGGCGTCAATCGGTGAGGGACGGGGACCCCCACCCCAACATCTTAAAGCGGGATATAGTTTGGTCTCCCCCCCCCCCCCCCCCCCCCCCACTACTTTTTTCCCCCGAATAAAAATTGTAGCCTACTGTAATTATTCTATTACTCAGAATAGCTGATTCAATGACTCCAAACTCGAAAATGATGTTCAAAAGTTAATCTTTTGCTCAAAACAATTGGTTTTTACTATAATAGTGGTCAGAAATTGCCTGAGATCGCACCACAGAAATTGCTTTTCTATAACTGCATGTCTTCTCAACTAAGTCCCCCAATTACATTGTACATTTAACTCCCCACATTTTCAACCCCAACACAAATACGCCCTACCCGATCTATGATCGGGTAAATCAGCTTGTGGTTGATAAAGACCAGCTGGCTGGTCTTAAAAACTTTTGGAGTGTCACATGAAATTTGGATTTCTGTGAAATCCGGTGCCTTAAACATGTTTAAACCGTTTTATTGGTTGAGCGGTCACAATCCTCACATAGGAATATGCAATACTACCAGTGAGTCAGTATTTCATAGTCCGAAATTCACACCTGCGCTCTGCACCACATCGTGCAGTGAGTAGCACGACGCGCTCGTCAATCTTCGTAAAAGGAGCTGTTTACGACTCATGAGAGGGACATACGATAACACAGCTACATGTAGAGGGGTGTTTTGAAAAACAAGTAAAATTGTTGAACAAAATTGTTAAATATTAACAATTTGTTAACAATGTTTAATATTGTCATCACTGTTATGTTTATCACACAAAAGCGATGTCAAATCACAGTTTCAAACTTTTATGAAAAAAAGGGAAAATTGTAAGAGACACCATATGAGATACACAACACAAGGGAAGTATTAAAAGCCCCCCCCCCCCCAACTACAATTTGGACATTATGTGTGGATGTTCATCTAGTTTTTGAACTAACATTAGGTAGAGAGACATACTGAGATACACATAGGCCAAAAACAGTCCTTCATTTAAAGAAAATCCAGGAGAGCTATAAATTGCTCTCCTCAAATATTTGAGGAGAGCAAATCGCTCTCCTTAAAATCTATGGATAAACAGCGGTTAAATGACGGGTTACCATTGTTTTCCCCATGTGGCTCAGGTGATATAATTTTCTAGGCTTTTTATTAAGAAAGAGTGTATCTTCAAGATTAATATTATCAAAAAAAATTCATGTGTATCTGACATTTTCATGAAAGTCAGCAATTTATTCTATGGGCCAGTCTGTTTCCCTTTTTTTTTTGCAAAGTTCATTGAACTTTGTGGTACCGTAACACCTCAACGGAAAGCAATATGAATTTTTGCTTTTGATATCATCTTAAGAACAACTAACAGAACCTTTCCACCAAGTTTGAACAAAATCTGTGACATATGGTGCCATGGCCCGTTGAATTGGCACGGAATGACCCGAAAAGAGGTTTGTGACCTTTTGAAAAACCATTTTATGAAACTGCAGGACTTAAGAAAAGCATCGTTTCTTTTTCTTTCTGTAATAGGGTCAACCATGGACTGCCTTGTTCAAGAGACTGCTGGAATCAAGTACTCCCCAATCACCGACTCAGGTCTGTCATCTCATCAGGCTCTGCTGCCTTCATCATGTGGAAGTTTGCTGATACATCACTCAAAACATTGCACAGGACAAGAGATACTGACTATGGTGGATGGTATAGACTGTCTGACTCATCCAGCCATGAATGACTGAACTGCTTAGTTGTGTTCCTGATTCATTTTGAACTCTGTGGATATGCATCTTGTCTGAACATTTTACAGACTGAACCATACATGTGCACTCCAAGAAGCTACAAGCTAATCCTGCAAGAAGTGTACTCCTACATCTCCCGATGCTCTCCAAATGTTGGATTGTGTTCCAGAGTGTTGCTGCTCTGACCTTTATTGCCAAGAACTTTTACGGCTAAAGGACTTGCTACAGAGACAGCCATCAACTAAGGAAAACTGAGTTTAGAAAATTGGGTTGGGTTGTAACACAGTGGCATAGCTTCACCTTTTTTCAGCGCAAGTAAAGATTTTGCTTGCAGAACATAATAAATGTATTCATTTACCCATCTCAAAGATGGCAAAAAAGTTCCTGTTTATCTTGAAGTTTAAAAAGTACACACAAGAGCTGATACTAATAAGCTGCTGGCTTGCAATCAAATTGCATTTGTGATTTGAGCTTAAATTCCAGAATCAACATCGTTGATTGTCCCTCAAGTTGCCTTCTTGACATTGCATGGACACCTTCAAAGCTATGCCACTGAAACAGACAGATACATGGGTTGAGGGTGGGACTTTTGGTTCATATATCTTAATTGCTATACAAAGTCCATTTTGATTGCTTAGCTCTGAAAGGTTGGGGCATTATTTTTATAATCAAAGTGGCCTGAAAAAGTGTGACTTTAAAGTCAACCATCTGCACACTCTGACAAAAATTGCATCCCTGTGAAGTTATGGGCACTGTACCATTTTTTAGCACAGTTTACAATAACTGAAGAAATACAAATTAAACTTTTACTTATCTCTTTAATAACCTTTGGACACCACCTCTCATTGTTCAGAATGGACTTTGTATTTAAAGAGTTTATTTCCAAGACGTGATTTACACCATTTTATTCTCTTTTAGAATCCTGCTCTCTTCTGGCTGCTGAAAAGCAATTTTGTTGGCTGTTATATTCTTAAACACAACTAGAAATCAATAAGTCAAAAAATGAAGTTTAAAAAGAGCTGCTATATTATTTTTATTCTTTGAAGTTCAAAACCATTCAAATTTTCACTTTTTTTTAAATGTATATGTCACGTTTTGGAAATGAATTCTTCATTTGTAACCAGTCCTCACAGTCTATGAAAATTGGAGCAAAAGAAAGAAAGAAAAAAAAACAAAGAACTTTGTCCTGAAGGATGTATTATAAAGAACAAGCTAGGTATCTGAAAAATTTCACACTTTGTCTGAAATCAAACTTTTGAAACTGTGAGAACATTGTATAAATGTGCGTGGAAAGACATGAGAGCATTGAATGTACGTGAAGTACAGAAACATCCATTGGGTGTAATTTGCAGACGTGCCACTCCTGATCCTTGTTTACAAAAAACTGGATATATTCCCAGCTTGAAATACAGCTTGAAACAGTTGACTTCCAAATGATCTGAATGAATTCACACTTGTTTTTGTCCATTTGACCTAAAGCACACTTTAAAAACTAAATATCATTGATGAGTGATGTGAGGGCTGGTTACACCAATAATTTAATTTTTATTACAATATTCAATGCCTGAATGGTAAATGTTTTCAAGCCAGGTGCATGATGGGTAAATGATGTCACTCCACTGTGAATACAGTTGAAGCAAAATATCGTCCCATGGAAAGTCGCTTGAAATTTAACATGTTGCATGGTGTGTGTTTTTCGGACATAGGCAATGCATCTCATAATGATCCAAGCATTCAAATCATCAAGTTTAGTAACTGAAAATTGTCAAATTTGCGTTGTGTTCGACCAATAAATATCAATTTGTCAATGCTATTGCCATTCAGTTTAAGACATTCGTCTTGGTCAGTGCAAAAAATATGCAACCATTTTGATAGGCGTTGAGCTCTTACTTTGCTACATGAATGTTCTTATCTTCAAATAATAGATTCCTAGGTTTTTACCCATCCTCCACCTGGTTTGAACTGTATAATCAGCACTGATGTTAAGAAATGAGAGGATTTGAACGATAGAATGTAAGATGGCTATTGCAGACATTTAGGCTGATCACATTTAGCAACTGTTCATTTCCATCAGATCATTCAACGTGTGCAAAACAAGCATGGCTATAAATATATTTATCACAAGCTGCTACATGTAGTTTTAAAAACACAAGCTGCTACATGGAGTTTTAAAAACACAAGCTGCAACATGGAACTTTGAAAACTGGCTCTTTCTCTTTGACACTGCATTGATGAGTTCACAAATTCTGCAAATTTTGGTGATTTTGCAGACTTGAAGCTTTGCCTAATTCAAAAATGGCGTTTAAAAAAAATACAGCGTATGCAAATTCTGGTCATAGTAAGCGCAAGCACAGTTGTACCTCAGTGCTGATTATACATATACTTGCAACATTTATTTTGGAAAAATAGTTTAACAATTTTTGCATTGTTGTCTTTTACCATCAGGCACTGTGAATAAAAACCAATAAAGCCCAGCCACATGCAGGCCCTCCTGGTGCGTGCACGTGTGTCCCCTGCCCACAGACGCTGACAGGTTGGTGGTTGCCCGCTATCTGCATCGGCTTGTGAATTGACTGTTGGTGATGTATGCAGCTCCCCTCGAAATCTTGCACCCTGGGTGATTGTGGATACCTCGGAAGACTGCAACATGGTAAGGATCCTTTAAACTTTGGCAATTGGTTAGTTTGTCTACAAAGCAGATGTACATGTCCACTACTCCAGGAATGGCAACTCAAGAGAACACTTCTGTGTCTAACTCCGCCATTGCTCACTTGAAACATGTCAAGAGTTCTCAGCCATCATTGCCAGTGATCCGAAAAAATAATGAAATATTCAGCATCAGTTACTTGTTGTGGGCTTTCTAGGATATTTGACAGTGTCGTATGATGTTTGAACAATTGTTTGGCCACAATTGTCTTGGTAATTTCCACAGTATAACTCTGAAATTCTAGTTTTGCATTTGCTCATTTCACCTCAAAGGGAGGTGTTTTCACCAAATGAAGTCATTTAATAAGATGGTGCAAGCTTCTTCAAAAATTACAATCGCGTCTGAATTGTATATTCATGGTTTTGGTAGCATACACACATTCTAAATTTGTCGTATTTGGAACTTTTTAACTGTCGGAATTTACAGTTAGTAAACTGCAAACAATTAAATTTGAAGTTCACAGTAGTTGACACCAAAAAAAATATTGAATTAACAAAATCGCATCCTGGTTTTTGAGAGGACAAAAAATTCTAAATATGACTGAATTTCTATAATGAAAAAAATAAGAAAGTCTAAAGATACTTCTGGACATTTCTGTGAAACAAAATTCAAATTTTTAAGTGTCATCATCTTTATGCGTACATGTAGGGGTTTTTGCATCAAAAACTAAAGATATTTGTAAAAAAGTAAACCAAAAACTGGTAGCCAAACTCTTCAAAACTGTAGTAGAGAAATGCCTGCTGTGCAGAGAGGGAGAACCATGCTGTTAGATTGCTGGGTGGATGATGTATCCAGGCCATTCACTCACATCATAGAGGGGCAAAAAACACTCGCTCTGAATTTGTCCAAAGAAGGGAGAAACAAAACATGTCTGGGAGAAACTACCTTAAATATGATGGAAAGTATACTGTACAAACTGGAGTCAAGTCTGCCAGAGATTCACTTAACAAGGGAGATTTTCATTTCACATTTCCAAGGGAAATATGGTTGCAAACAACCAGACGTTTGTTTCTACGTTGTGAAATTCTTTGAAATTACATGTAAGTATCCTTGCTAGCAAGGATGAAAAACTCACTTGACGGACTCCACAATTAAAAAAAAATAAGAATTGGCGCTTGCAGAATGAGCTAAATTCCATCCAGAAATTGTGTAGATATTTCTCCCATTCATCAACTCCCCAAAAGAAAAAACCTTAGCGGCAAATTAAACATGGGACAAATCGAAAATGGGTGTGAGCCCCTCGATCAATTAAGAGTGAATGGCCTGGTAGATTGAGTACCAATTTGCCTCTCAGTATCCTAAACAGAAACTGTGACATCAGACACGGGGAGCCAGTCCTGTCAACAACTTCCATGGTAAGTTTAATTGAAGTTTGTAGAATGAATTCATGCACTGGTACATCCTCATGTGTTGCTTGTTAAACCCAAATGTGTATCTCATGGCTTAGGAGTATGGTGTAGTCTGCATTAAACAAGGCAGTAATGTACAGATGGTCTTCAGTCTATGGCAATACACAGTGGCGTAGCTAATGGCCACGGGGGAGGGAGGGGACCAGTAATTGGTTGATGTGCTAGTTGATCAACCACAATAGGAGACAGGCAGTCAGTGGTCCACTAAATCCACACGTCAGTCAACCAATCCTGCCAAAGCTGCATGAGCATGTGGAAATATTAAACATAACAGTTGTTCACACAACTCTAAAATGATGACAGGATAAAGATGAAAAGTCACTTGAGTTTGCTATACGTACGTTGCAGAAAAAAACAATCACTTGATCAGCATGTATTCCTTGACCAAAAAAACACTTGTCAATGAGTCGTTTTGAAATACAATAAACTCTGCATATTAATATGAGGCACAGAAATTTTGAGATTTCTTAAAATTTTGGAAAGGTTTAAATTTCGCTTTGACTTTTTAAGATAAAAGTCCATTATGGATACTAAGAGTTGGTCAAAAATGCCTTGTGCCAATTTTTGAAATGAATGATTCTTGCAGAAGTTTCCTCAGTGGATGTCAAGTTTTCATCCAGCATGCGCCTCACAATCTAGAGGAGCTGATTTTGTTTGAAAAATCGAAAAACACAAAAATCAAGTGATCTAGTTCAGTTGACTCATGCATCAAATTCTAGAAAGCTGAGGCTTGCCTTTAATTCAGGCCAAAATGATAAAATTGAACATATCAATGTTAGGTCTCTCCCTCCCCCACAAATCTATAGCTACGCCACTACAAAATATCACCAAGGTTTTTCCTGAAATTGACGGCAAAAAAATCAAACAAACTTGCTGAAAGTTAAGCAGCATTGTTTTAACATGAAACTTGATCAAGGCATTGTAATTCTAATGTCGGCCGCAGTCTGTGATGAGCTCAAATCACTGATGTCTGCCTGAGCAGACTCCAAAATCCAAAATAGTATTGAATTTAAAATTACAAAAATATTACAGTCTGGACTTTACTAAGTGCAGATAGTGCTGATGCAATTTACAGCCAAACGGTCAACCAGCTACTGATAATAACAGTATTGATACGAAATGCCTCTGCTCAAAACAACATACAGGACTCATGTCGTAGCCTGCATTGTAATCGATATGATCTGAGCTAAACTCGGCTCAGCAGGCACAGGTTTCATTAGTACCCACATGATGTGGACGGAGAACGGACTGAGGCAAGTCTAGCACAACACAATGCTGTGCTTTAGAATACATGTACATGTACATGTACATCCATGTCATGGTAGACTGTTCATATTCTGTTCCAAATGACTGTACATGTGATCTACCCAGAGCAAAATCTTGCATCACTTATGGCTGTACCATTCAGCTTTCAATCATCAGCACAAGATTACAATGAGACCACAGTGCCAATGCTTTATCCCGCATGTAAAACTTCAAAGTGAGCGATTGAATACAAAGAATCTGCCAATCTTTAGTGATAAGTCAAACTTGAATCTATGCAAAAATCCTGGCAGAGGAAATTTCCAGTCGTGATTTAATTGAGCTCAGTTTGTTTCTCTGAATTTCTGTTTGAAAGAACATGACCAGTCAATGTCTTGATCAAGTCACAAAACCAAATTATGTGATGTAGGAAACAAAATGTCCCAAAAGTTCTTCATTTCTTCATGTACATATTTCATCATGACTAGAAAAGTCAGAAGAAAAAGGAAAAGCGAGAAAATCCTAAAGGTATATTTTGAAGAGTCAATTGCACCAGCAAGCCAAATGTATGTCAAAACAGTTCATTTCAAATTTGTAACCAAATTCTCAGCAATAAGTCTAAAATATATTTTCGCTGGATATGTTTGTTTTAAACATCATAAGCAAATTGTAAGGACGTTGCTGCCTGCTAGCGATACTTGCATTCATGTAAGCACCATGGACCAAATCCCAGTGCTTATAGTGTTCTAGCGTGAGAAGAAATGGAGAACTTTTGGGACATTGTTGGTATTGCCATAGACTGAAGACTATCACAGCTCCATGTCACATGTTTTTCCATGTCCAAACTGTCCTTACGACAGTGTAAGACTTGTCGAAAAGAATTTAATTTTCACGAAGACAAAGGACTCAACGACAGCATGTACGGAAAATGCGCATGTGTGTAAATGCAATCCATGTAAACGAACATGTGATATCTTTCAAACTGTACTTTTCAAAATGTTTATCCTATCTTCCGACCTGAAATTGACGGGTAGTTGATTGGAGATACCATCTCGTAACTATGTCTAGTTTAAGTCATGTGCAAATAAGATGCTTATCGGAAAGGATTTATTTATGTTCAAAGTTGAAAGATTTTTCATTTGATGAAAGCATTGAAAGCATTTCAGAAGTATTACATAAAGTACCTAAAAATAAGTAGGTGTCATAACCATTTTGCTTAGTTATGTCATGTTATTCCCTTAAATTGAACCGTGTAGGGAAAAAAAAATCTAAAATGAGATCATATAGGTAAAGATGTGGGGAATTTGCATAGGTTTCATGACGATGTGATGCTGTTCTTGACTAAGGTGACAAGGAACAAGTCTTACTTGTAGATTTACAGCAACTCTTCCATCTAGAACTTTATTGGGAAACATCATTTGCGATTAAAGTGTAGTTCCAGCAAGAATGTTATCTCACCAAGTTTTTGAACTTAAAAGATCATGATTTTCCAATGAGTCATCAGCCAAGATGTGGATGAAAATTGTAGATGTTCAACAAACGACGGATGATTAAGTTACTCGTAAATAGAACTTGCAAAAAGTACTTACTTTCTGCTAATTTAAAACAGGTTTAGACAATTATTACGTGCATCTCTGGGATATGTAACTGGTAGCACTATATTCAGATAAATGATGAAGAGGTACATGTGCATGTAGGGCCTTGATATTTTCTGTAAACTCTAGAAAAAGACCACAAAAATTGCCTGTTTCGGTTTTTCAATATTCACAATTCTCTACGTGTATAGAGTCATTAGTATATTTTTGAAATTGGCATCCATCGTACGATAGTATTCAGATAAATTTCAAATAAAAAACTTGCAGGGATATTGGAAACTTAAACATGCAGGCTAGAAATTTTAACACTCATTTTAAATATATAAAATACAGTCGGACTAAGATTTATGCAGGAAATAGTTCTTAGATGGTACGTAATCTCCGTCAACCCCTTGTGAAAGAAAACGATAGATGAAATGTCGGAATATTTCGCATTTGGCCGTACTTTGCTGTCACGATCGTGGCTAATGTCAAAGACCAAGAAATTAAAAGTACAGTGTTACTTAGGCAGGTCCTGGGAAAATCCAAAATTACCGATATTAATGCAGACAACTGAAAAATAGACACTGTTGTGTTCAATGCCTTTCTTAATTTGGGCTCCTTGCATGAAATACTTTTATGTACTATGTGGTAAAAACCAAAAGAAAACATAGGCTGGTTCTCTGCTAGTCATTACATTCTTTGAATAGAGGAATGGTTGGAACCAGTCCAGAAGTTTGAACATGTTCTTTACTGGTTGGTTATCACCGATTGCAAAATAGGTCTCGTTCAAATGACGTCATTTCCTACAGACCATCCACATGCATCGGCATTTTGAGCGTGAACTTGCGTAACGCGCATCAGCTGCGTCGTATTTCAAACACATTTCGAGCAACAAGCGTGCATGTTTGGAACATTTTCAACATTGCGCAATGCGTGCTTGATTGCGTAGATGAATTCTTCGCGCAACTGTTTGGCACAAGCATTTGAGACTCAACACATACACTGTAAATGCTGCTTTGCCTGCGCCTAAGAGGCGATATATGAAACACAACATGCGCCAACAGGATAACACATGTGTACGAAATTAGGCAGAGAACAAGTAATCCTCTTTTGACGGTCGAATATGCACAAACTTGTAGCCTCTTTGTGTGACAGGAACACACTTGAACACACGTCGTCACTAAAACTTGTTACGTATTGAAGTTTTAAAGCCAAGGCTCGGTGTAGTTAATGCAAGGTGTCCGTTACACCGTTACTGACTTGAAATAGAAAAATCTATGTCCATCCAATGTCAAAAGCGTCAATGGCGTGGTTGCTTAAAGGCAAAGAACATAGACATATTAGTTCAGTGCTTCTATTTGCAATTTTAATTCAATATCTTAGATTTTTCCCAGGACCTGCCTAGGTTTGCATGTGAGCATGTACATTACCTGCCTTATGCAGACACACCTACTCCACTGCAGCCGATTTCACAAAACAGTGTGTAACTTGCGCCATGCGTAGGACTTGCGCAACGAACTTGTTGTGCGGATGCACAATAAGCTTACGATCAATTTCACAAAACTTGGCATAACTGCGCAACTTTTTAAATAGGATAATAACAGCATTTATGATGGCTGTTTGTGTCAGATTGTATCCATTCATGAAAAAGGCATTGCATCACCTCCCCCTGCCATTTTGAAAATATGGCCCGTGGCGGTTTGTTCGACTTTGTTTGGAATTGTGTGGCAACACTTTGAAAAACTGTCGCAGGTATTTAAAATACATGTAGTTATCCATTTATTTCAAAAACAAAGCTGCGAGTGCAATAACTTGCTTGACAATCACAATTTGTAGATAAAATAAATCAATTGTAGTGTCCTACGCCACACAACTTACTTCACCTAAAATAAATGCAAAGTTACGCCGTAATTTGTTGCACAAGTCGCTGATTTAAATGCACTAGGAAACTTTTGTTAAATTGTAGTAACTGAAATGTTGCGCATTGTAGATTCCTGCGCAAGTTTGGCAATAAAGTGTGGCGCAAGTGGACTTACACCACTGCGTAAAGTTTGTGAAATCAGCTGCAGTTTTGCCATGAGAACCATTGGGTTTAATGAGTAACAATGAGGATGTATTTTAAAAATTGTACAGTGCATGAATTATTGAAAACTTCAATTAAACTTAGCATGGGCGACGGGACAGGCTTCCCCCGTGTCATATTGGATGTCACAGTTTCTATGGATGCTGACGGGCAGATTGCTACCACATCATCCACCGAGTCACTGAGCAGTATGGTTCTTCAGAAGGGCACATCCAGGATCAAAGAAGAAAACAAAATGAAATTGGATTCTATCGAGAATGAAATTCAATCTAACCTTTGAATCAACTCATTGATTCGGTATTGTACTGAAATTTTGGCTACCCAGAAGCAACACGTTGCCTAAACTTCTAAAGGCAAGCTGTCTGTTAGACGTGAATTTAACAATAAATAAACAAAGTATTGTGTAGAGCAAACCCAAGTTAAACTTGGAAAACATTTTGTCAACAATTTTGTGCCAAAGCCATTGGCGTATGCAATATAACGAACCAAAGAATATTTTCGAAAGGTGATGACACAACTAAGAGCCAGAAAAGAATGGCTAAAAATTCTTCAGTTGAAAATATAATATTTGTTATCAGAATGAATTCAAATTCTGGAATCTTTGCACAAGAATCTCGTCCTACAATTTATGGAGCTTGAAAATCTTTGCTCCTCTCAATATTTGTTGGAAACATTGAAGTGTGGTTCATGTACATGTACATGCATGTACATGTTCATGCATGTACATGTACATGCAATGTTCATGTACATGTACATGCATGTACATGTACATGCAAGGCATCTTCTAATAGCCTTGACTGAAAATTACACCGAAAATACTCCATGAAAATAAGTAAGGAAATATCTTGCGAATTATTAACTACTTAATCTTTTAGGAAAGTTGTGTGCTACCAAAAGCCTTGTTTACTGTAATGCTTGCACAATAGTCTGTAAAATTTCCATTTGGAACTACCTGTACATCAATACAGGTTAACTTGGTGAATGTTCAGCACAATATTTTTGCAGCTGAAAGTATGTAAAATTAAACTTGTCCTTTTCTGCAAAGGAAAACATTGAGCATTATACGTGTGGTATCATCTACCGTATGTCAGTAACAAATGTACGATTTGTTCGTTAGACGTACATGTTAAATGTAAAAACAACTACTGTAAAAACAGCCTAACAATTAGAGTTAAAACTGTGGAAAGTTACCGAAGTAATTTGTGGCCATTACGATTGATTAAATATTATCCGACACTGGAAATATCCAAGAAAATCTTCATGACAAGGAAACTGAATGCTGGGTATTTTATTTGATCGGATTAATTGGCATGATGTAACTGTGAACGGCTGATATGTTGAGAGGAACAATAACGGAAAAGATGCAGAGTGTCTCTTTAATTGTCGTTCTTAGAGTAGATGGTGGGTTACCGTGGCAACGGTCATAACCAAAAACCCAAAGTACCATCTGCCTTGTAGAAAACTGAACCGATTGTCGGAGTTTAATAGGATCCTTATTATGTTGTTTTCTACTTGGGTTATCCATGATTGCACAACTTGCAAGATCTAGAGGGCGCTGTGTACACTCATCAATAGTTGGTCACAAGTTGGTGTGGGTAGTTGGGTGACTGCTGCTTGTTGGTGTCTGTGGGCGGGGACATGCGTGTGCGCACCGGGGGGGGGGGCCTGTGTGTGGCTGGGCTTTTTTTTTGGTCAGGTAAAAGGTCAAGTTCAAGGTGAAGTTCAAGTTCAAGTTCAAGGTCAAATAAAAAAAAATTAAAATAAAAAAAAATTAAATATACAAGTTCAAACCAGATGGAAATAAAGTTCAAGCAACACCATCTTACAATTTTGGTTAATAATTGTGATTTATTTCATAAACAGCGACCTCAATATTTAGAAAAACCAACTTAACAAAAAATCACTTTAAATATTATAGAATAGCGCCCTCAACATTTTGATAACTTAAAAAAATATATTTGAGAAACAGTGCCCTCAATGTTACATTACTCACCTTGAGTAAAGAGCGCCCTCAGTGTGTTAACATAACTTTAAAGCAGCAAAGTTGAAATGTATACAGGCACAGTTCTATTGGGATAGATTTTTTTTTAAATACAACTCTAAAAATGTATATTCTTCTCTATAAATTTAGCAATTTTTGAAGCAATTTTGTAAAATGAATTCTTTTTGATTAACATTTTGTTCCCATTTTTAGAACTGTACCTGTACACAATATTAAACTTTGCATTTAAGTCATCTAAATTACTTTGGTAATAAAAACACAACACCAAAAAAGCAAAGATTTGTTTTATTCGTTCAAAAATAAACATCAAATCTCTACGAGCACACCATAGGAATGATTTACAGCAATTTACCAGCCAGTGTCACCAAAAAGTTCTATTTTTTGGAACATAAAGTACTAAACTGTATTTAATTATTCATAAGAGTCACATTGCTCTTAAGATTTGGCTAGTTTAAAGTTCTCTATTTGTGCTTTTGAACACATTGATTTCTTTTTACTGAATTTTTTCTTCAATTGAAGTTTCATTTAAAAAGAAAGTTTTTTTTCGGATATTTTCAACATTCTGAAAAATAATGCGCTTTCATTTTGGGCCATCACGCACAACAGTATTTTCTGGCAGCAATTAGAAATCATTGCATATTAACTAAACGTGGTCTGATAATTTGAATTGTTAGAAAAATCTTTTTCTGAGTGAAACTCAAAACTAGCAAGGGGAGATAACTTTAAAAGTTACTTTGATAATTTAAACTGTATGACAATTACGTGTCATTCATTTAAGTGCTTTTTATAAGTGGAAAAGCAGGATCTGAAACTGCGGCATTTGACATACAACTGCAAGGATACTGGCAAAATTCTCTACAATTATTGAGTTTGACTGACTGAATCATTCATATGGTGTGCTCATGTAGATACTTAATTTCTATATAACCAAATAAACCAGGCACATGTCAGGAAAAAATGACTAAAAAGTAATTGTGATAATCAAAATTTTCAATAAAAAGTCATTGTGATAATCAAAATTTTCAATAAAAATCTTAACATTCAATAAAATCAGGAAATTTAGTTAGAAAAGGTGACCCTCTTGTTTTCAAATTTAAAGGGAAATTCTCAATCCTAAGAAATGTTACATCAAACCACACCAACTTTATTGCCAAGGTTTTATTTTGTGCAGCATGAAGCCATTTCGAATAAATAAAGGAGCTTGTTGAAAGGAAAGAGTTCAATGCAAGATCTTGTCGTCAAAGAAATTAGACGTTTTGAAATAAGAGCGGTTTATAGGTTCTTCAAGTCTTGATAATGTAAAGATTATTTACAGATAGTTGATCAAATTTGAGATGAAAAAATTTACTTTAAAACTCTTGTTTTTTTTTGTTTTTTGTTTTACAAAAACCTTTGCAAAAACCAATAATTTATTTGATATATGTGACATGTGCCTGGTTCTACATCTTTATATTTGAATGTACAGGGCAAATCCATGGCAAGGGTTTTCACTTGTTTGAGATTGCAAGGAACACTGTGCAAAATCCTTCATTTAGAATTCCAGCTCTCATTGCTACTATTTTATTTAAAATTATGAAAATCTTTTAAGCCTCACAAGCTTCTTTGGAATGCTTCTTCAGCCAAAACTTCCTAGTTTTGATTATGTTTCTAGATATGAGTTTGCCATAGATTTGCCCTTTCCCTAAGACGATTCCATCCAATCTTCCCGAGGAGAGTCCGACCGGTTGGCATCAGATCCAGACGTCAGGAGCAGCATCAATAGATTCCGGACTTCAAAGCCTTCACAGACTTGGCACATATTGGGAGAAAAGGAAAACAAAATGGAATAACATGCATTAGTTCAGTAAATTTTACAGTTGTAACGAAGAAAGGTCGTAGAAGATGTCTCTCGTAATTTAAAATGACAAGGGTGGCCACAATACTGCAACTCAGATTTAACAACCAAAACTCTCTAGGGGTATAACATTTCATGTTATGACTGGAGGATTCAGGACTGTTAGGGTTAATGAGGGATTCAAATACAGAAATACTGTTTCTATAAAAAAAACAGTGTGGAGTGTCAGTACGTTTAATGTTTGCAAGTGAAAAGCTACAGTAGTGGCCACCCTGCTAGAACACAAACATAATTCTCCATTTGCCAATCAAAGCTGAACTCTGCCTTGTCTGGTTCCCTGCTCCCATTGTCCTGACTTCCAAAATGGGGACAGGTAGCTAGCACTGAATCCTGAATCCATTAGGAGGCTGTCTCGTAATGTATGTAAATTATATACATACATGTAACTTGCATAGGTCTGAATCCCGCATCCTGAATTCAAAATCACAAAGGTAATGTTTGCCCGCACCCAAACTATTGCAAAATGGCAATTTGCCAAGAATGTGCAATTTCTGAGGTGATGAGCTTTGATTTTTTGCTGAATTTGAATGTGTCTCTGGCAAATATCAATAAGACAGGGGCATAACTGTTCAGTATTTAAAACCAATGCAATTCAAATGCTTGAAAGTTGCCTTAATTCAAGACACTGACGATTTTGCATACTTTTTGTGATAAGACAAGAGTAAGTTTTTTATAGCCATGTGTTCAACTACCGTCCATGCACGAACAAAGCTAAAAAGGATTAAAAAATAAACAATTCTTCATTTGCAGCGATCATCCAATCAATGGCTTTTAATTGGAGCTAGCTAGCAGTCCCCATGCATATTTTAGTGTGGGGGGCACTTTATACTCTGCCTTGTCTATAACACCTCACCACTTGAAGTACTTTTTTCCAGTTATCAACCACTGTTTAATTAAAAAACAATATGCAGTGCTAGAGGAAAATAAGCCATCATTAAAAGAAATCTTTGCAATGTATTGATCCAGTAGGAGTAAATATTTGAAAATTTAAAAAAATAAATCATACAAAGGCAAACAAATTTTGATAGAAACGGACTGCATCAAGGAATGATATTGGAAATAAAATTCAAGCATGTACTCGCAGTAATCCATCAATTCATAAACAGTAGTCACATTTTGACTAGAAAATAGATGGAAATGATTTGTGCCTTGTGAGATTATTTGATATGTTTTAGTTTGCTATAGTCATTGAATGAAAACAGTTGTCACTGGGTTAGAATCCTTTGCAATGAAAGACTCAGATAAATGCTTTGAACCAATCATCAATCCTGCATTGCCAAGTTGTCATCAATTTGATTATCACATCGGTAATTATTCTTGAAACCATGTTCAACTGGAAAAACAAGTCTACAATTACAATGACAGGAACATTTCTACTCTTACCATATCTTGCCATGCTATTTACCTTTTAATCTAAATGCCCAGCTTTTCTTTCACATTTGGAATAATTGGAAAGCACACTAGCAAAAATCCTAAAATCTGTCTCAATTTCTTCACATGTAAGCAACGGTTAAATACAAGTTTTAATAATTTTAAAGTCATGGAACATTTTCTGGTGAATGGCCTTTTGGAGGGTATTTTCCCTTCTTATTTACACCATGAATAGTGAAGATAAAAATCCATTTGAGCAAGTTAAGATGGGACAAAAGGTTCACGGAGCACACTCTTATTTCTAAAGAGTAAACATTCACTCTTTTCCAGGTGAATATTCACTCCCACCGACTGGAACTAGGCAACATATGTTGCAGAGTGAAATTCATTTAATGGAATAGATTGAATTTTTATTAAAGTTTAGCTGGATTTATTCTTTTCAGAATATTTGAATGTGAAATTAGAGTGATTTTCACTCTGAATTAACTGATCCCTAGTTGGGACCAATAAATACATGTACATGTACGTGTCGACAAGAAAGTTACCGTTGACAAAAAAGTTTCATTTGACAATAAAAACCCAACCTTACAAAATACAATGACTCAAATTACCATTGCACGAGTGCATACATGTAAATATTTTTCTATTTTCGAATGTTAAAAATAGCAAAAATCTTTGATTGATGATCAAATTTTCAAATATATGCAGGATATTTAGGACAGCCCCAATGTTCACGCCTGTCGTCTGCTTTAACAAATAATCAGAATTAAACTACCTTTTTATTTTCTTACTAATCTTACAAACACGTATATCAGTTAAACAAAAATGAAGAGAAGCATTTTAAATTCTTTTATGTTTCTAATAACCAGTTCACGCCAGATAACGTGTCTTCACACAAATGTTTTCGGCATTCAGAACAGATGACAGATATAAACATGCAGGGAGCGAGGCCAGAAATATGATGTCAGCAACCCGCACGCAGTAAACGAGGCTGGAAATATAAAGTGATGCCCGAGGGTAATCCCGCGTCTCGCTCCGTTCTGGTCAAAATATTCCTGACATAAACTGGTTAATACGAAAGTCAGTTTAAAATGATACGCCGTCACCGCCAGCCAGGGCATACATGTACACCCAACTGACACCCTGATGTTGGGCCATTCCAAGGATCAAGCATGTTATTCTTCCCTAACCTATATATTTATGATATCATTACTTGTTTCTCATTTGGAGGTTTGTGGAGGAGGGTAAAACAGGTTTCCCTCAAATGTAAAGATACGCCATCACCAGCCAGATAATATATCCAACTGACACCCTGATGCTAGGCCATTACAAGGATCACGCGCACTACAGTCTATTAATCCAACCATAACTATAATTACTAATTACTACGTTAATCGGAGGCTAAATTTGACACTCTACAACAAGTACAAATATATATCGGGAAAGATTTGAAGCCATGAAAAAAGAAACCATATTTTCCTAGTTTGGATCACCAAGTCCTGACAAAACTAAGTCCATAATGTCATGTCTATTTATATATTTGCTGCTGGAGGGGAAAAAGATGTTGCATGGAGGAACTACATGCTGCCACTTGCTACTGGTGGGGAGATGTCACCATGATGAACTGTAACAAACCTAGACTGTCTGGAGATGTCACCATGATAAACTCAGTGTCACAGATATAGACTGGCTACTGTGGCTGAAGAGGTGTCACGATGCATTATGAACTGTCACAGTTTTAGACTGGCTCCTGGGTAAAGAGATGTCACCATGGTGAACTCAGTGTCACAGATCTAGACGGGCTTCCGGGTGAAAAGGTGGTCACCGGTGTCACGATGCATTATGAACTGTCACAGGTCTAGACTGGCTACTGAGTGAAAAGATGTCACCATGATGAACTGTCACTGGTTTAGACAGGCTACTGGGTGAAGAGATGTCACCATGATGAACTGTCACAGGTCTAGACTGGCTACTGGGTGAAGAGATGTCACCATGATGAACTGTCACAGGTCTAGACTGGCTACTGGGTGAAGAGATGTCACCACAATGAACTGTCACAGGTCTAGACTGGCTACTGAGTGAAGAGATGTCACCATGATGAACTGTCACAGGTCTAGACTGGCTACTGGGTGAAGAGATGTCACCATGATGAACTGTCACAGGTCTAGACTGGCCACTGGGTGAAGAGATGTCACCACGATGAACTGTCACATGTCTAGACTGGCTACTGGGTGAAGAGATGTCACCATGATGAACTGTCACAGGTCTAGACTGGCCACTGGGTGAAGAGATGTCACCATGATGAACTGTCAAAGGTCTAGACTGGATGCTGGGTGAAGAGATGTCACCATGATGAACTGTCACAGGTCTAGACTGGCCACTGGGTGAAGAGATGTCACCATGATGAACTGTCACGGGTCTAGACTGGCTACTGAGTGAAGAGACGTCACCATGATGAACTGTCACAGGTCTAGACTGGCTACTGGGTGAAGAGATGTGACCATGATGAACTGTCACAGGTCTAGACCGGCTACTGGGTGAAGAGATGTCACCATGATGAACTGTCACAGGTCTAGACTGGCCACTGGGTGAAGAGATGTCACCACGATGAACTGTCACATGTCTAGACTGGCTACTAGGTGAAGAGATGTCACCATGATGAACTGTCACAGGTCTAGACTGGCCACTGGGTGAAGAGATGTCACCATGATGAACTGTCACGGGTCTAGACTGGCTACTGAGTGAAGAGACGTCACCATGATGAACTGTCACAGGTCTAGACTGGCTACTGGGTGAAGAGATGTGACCATGATGAACTGTCACAGGTCTAGACCGGCTACTGGGTGAAGAGATGTCACCATGATGAACTGTCACAGGTCTAGACTGGCTACTGGGTGAAGAGATGTGACCATGATGAACTGTCACAGGTATAGACCGGCTACTGGGTGAAGAGATGTCACCATGATGAACTGTCACGGTTTTAGACTGGTTCTGGGTGAAGAGACGTCACCATGATGAACTGTCACAGGTCTAGACTGGCTACTGGGTGAAGAGATGTCACCATGATGAACTGTCACGGTTTTAGACTGGTTCTGGGTGAAGAGACATGGTGAACTCAATGTCACAGGTCTAGACTGGCTACTGGGTGAAGAGATGTGACCATGATGAACTGTCACAGGTCTAGACCGGCTACTGGGTGAAGAGATGTCACCATGATGAACTGTCACGGTTTTAGACTGGTTCTGGTTGAAGAGACATGGTGAACTCAATGTCACAGGTCTAGACTGGATGCTGGGTGAAGTGATGTCACAGTGGTGAACTGTCCAATTTAGACTGGCTCCTTGGTGAAGAGATATCACCCTGATGAACTGTCACAGGTCTGGACTGATTTCTGGTAAAACAGGCACAACCTGTTAAAAGGTGTAGTCCAGCTCAAGACGTTACTGCGATGAACTGTCACATGATTCCATTTCCCAAGTGTTAGAGACAACTCTTGTGTGAGCAGCCCAAGGTGAAGTTGACG